GAAATGTTTCCCTCTTCTTCATTATTATGTTAATTATTAATAAACATACCATTGAATAGTCATACAGTTTTATCTTATAAATTATCTACTATTGATAAGCAAAATAATTATTCAAATTCATTCTAGTAACTGGTATAAATTTCCTTATATATCTTTCACATTTCTTTTCAATATTTGATCAATCTTTAGAAACAATTACAATGTTTCCCTCCCTTCTTTATTATTGCACTATTGCATTAATTATAAATAAGCATACCATTACATAACAGTACAGTTTTATCTCATAGATTATTTACTCATTTCATTTCTAACTCATTACAATATTCTACTCACAACACTATCTTTTGTACCTTTGCAGAATCCTCACTTTTAACTTAATTTAGCCATTATCTCTGTGTTTTCTAGCTGAGCAAATACCTTTAATCCTAGTACGTTTCCCCTTTTTCTTTATTTCCTGCTTTTGTCCCTCACAAATTCTTTCCCTTTCTATCTTCCCCCCTTTTTTCTCATCCCTTTTTTTATACCCTTCTCTCTCTAATTTTCCCTTCTGTAGTTTTCTTTTCTGCTTCTCCTTGCTGTTATACTTCTTTTTCAGGCTATTTTTCTTTTTGGCTGTTCCCTTTGATCTCAAACTTTTAACTCCTTTCCCCCCTTTTTACCACCTTTTGCATTATTTGATCATTAAAAATGGCTTCTTTTTTGTCTCTCCCTTCTTCCTGCTCTTGAAGCTTTTCCTTTTGCTTTTCATAGTTCAGGATCTCCATTTCAAAAAATTCAAATACGAAGTCAAAGTCAAAGTCTTCCTCCCCTTTCTGCATCTTCTTTCTGTTTTTTAAGACTCATCTTCAATTCCTCCAGGAGTGATGCCATTTTAAACACTTTTGAACAACCACCCGATTGACTTTAAGTAAAAACAGAAAATAAAAAAAAAACAATGCCAAAAGCTTTTTTTTTTTAAATCACCAAATGATTCCAGACTGTTCCTTCTTGTTTCTTTTCTTTACTTTTCCTTTCCGTGGGTTACTGTATCTTTTAATAAGATTTCCGTTACGAAGTATCCCCGGGAGTCTTTTCAAAGTTTCACTGTTAATCCTCTTTATTTTTCCAGGTGGCACTCCATTTTTTCATTATTCCAAGTTCCACCCTTTTGCCTCCACTCTTCTCCTTTTTAGGGCTTTAAAATGACCAGAAAAAAAATCTTTATTGTCCTTTTGACACTTACATTTCAGCTTAATGTTGCCTATTAGTGTCAAAATAGATTAACATAAATTTCTTTCTACACCATTTATAATTGTCAATATAAAGGTTAAAAAAGGGTTTTTTAACCTCGTTTTCTCTCTCCTTCGCCACTTAAAAATCTTCTTTCAGAAAAAAATCTTACTTACTTCAGATAGTCTATATACCCTCTGAGTACTTTTAGATTCAGGGTACCTTGCTTAAATGTTCTCTGTTGTTTAGCCTAGTCTGTCCTGCTTTCCTCTTTGTCTTCCTCCTGCACAATCTTATCCAGTCGGGTTCTTCTTTGAGGTGGCCATTTCAGACCACTGCTGCAATCACCTTCGGGGAAGGGAGTTTAGACCAGCCAAGGAGGAGAGATGCGGCTCCCCTCCACTCAGCTAGCAATCTCCCCCACTCGTCACCACCTCTACGGGGTGGCTTCAGCCCCGAATCCAAAGGATTGGGGTGCTCCAGCGGCGAGCACAGATCGAAACTGAGCACGATCGTGGATTTCGGTCTGTCGCTGAAGAAGCCCAAACTGGAAGTCCCATCTTCTCATCACTCCTTATTGCCCATCCCCTCTCACTTGTGACTGTATGACTGTAACTTTGTCGCTGGTATCCTTACCATTTATATTGACTGTTTCCTGGTATGATTTGATTGCTTATTGTACCCTATGACTATTATTAAGTGTTGTACCTTATGATCCTTGACTCTTGACAAATGTATCTTTTCTTTTATGTACACTGAGAGCATTTGCACCAAGACAAATTACTTGTGTGTCTGATCATACTTGGCCAATAAAGAATTTTATTCTATGTATTCTATAACACTTACTTGGCCCAGACTTACTTACTTCAGATAGTCTATATACCCGCCCACTCTTTTCTTTTTCATGCCAGGTTGAGGGCAGAGGGGGCTTTTTTCTTCTTCCTGGAAATTCATTCCATGGTGCTTCATATTTTCCTATGTTTATCTTAGGAAAGTATATACTGTTTGCTTTCTTACAAAACATGATAAAACAATGAAAACAGGCAGTCTTAATTTTCAGCTGTCTTGAGTTTTTTCCTCCTTTCATTCTTTTATTAACTAACTATAGAAAAGAAAAAGAAAAAGAAAAGACACAAAATGATAAAGAAAAATAAATGTTAAAAACACAACTGAGGCATATACTTACATGCATATATAAAGGTGTTCATTATACTTTCAATGAATGGAAGCCATAGTTCTAATGGTTAATGGATAATCTACATTGACAAGTTATTGATACAGATAACAGATAATCATAAATGATACATAAATTGCTGGTGACATCAATTCTGCAGACCACTGGTTAATTGGAGCTACATGTTTGTCTTTATAGTGCTGAACATTAAGTCATTTAGCTGTAAGTAAACCACAGAAAATTAACTTTCTTTGTCCAGATGTCAACTTTCAGGTGATTGGAATAAACTTCCCAAAAATATGAATATCTGAAAATACTAAATCTTAAAAGTTGAATTAGTTAATGCATGTAATAATTTCTACCCTAAATGGAACCATTGTTGGATATCGTAGAAACATATATTTAAATAAAGCATTAATTTCATTGCATTTCCAGCAACATAAGCATTTACTCAGTTTTTTTCCCCTATGGTATATAAAGAGAACCAAGTTGGTTTCATGATTAAAGCATTAGGCTAGAAATTAGTAGCATGTGAGTTCTGGTTCCACCTTAGGCATGAAATTGTGACCTTGGGCCAGCTACTTTCTATCAGCCCTAGGAAAGAGATAATGGCAAACCACTTTCAAAATCTTGCCAAGTAAACGGCATGAGTTGGCAAAGCCTAAAAGGCACAAAAAAGTCATAATAATGAAGTCATTTCTGAAATACTATTTCTTGTTGAAAAATTATAACGTAAAATATATTGAAATTGTTAGGTTGTTCTAATGTTAAAAAAATAAACTTGTGTGTTAGGATTACAGGGTGCTGCATAGCACTGTGGAGTGGTATATAAGTCTAAGTGGTATTGCTATTGCTATTGAACAAAGGGGTAGGTTAATAGGTGGGAGTGGATTTAAACTTGCAAGTTTGTTGTGATACTAATGAAAGTTTAAGAAGCTAACCAGGTTTGGATCTCATAGTCCTTTGACGGGAAACTGGCTGGAAGTATCAGGGTTGTAGTTTAGACTGGGAAGCAAAATAAAATGTTACAAATTCTAGAGGAAGGCAGTAGCAAATAGCTCCCCTATTTTTCCCAAGAAAGCAATATGGATATGTCAGTGAAATCAGCAGGAGCTGAACTTGACAAAGCAGACTGCAGCTTTTTATCTGATAGGTATGGAAAAATGTAAGTTAATAAATTAGATCTTTTCTCTGTTAGGCCCAAGAAAAAAATGTCTCATAGAAGTTTTCCTTTGAATTATGTGAGGCGCTCCCTTTGGCTTTAATTCGTTTTTACTTCACAGGGGACATGATAGTTTCAGAACATCTTTTTCTGTGGAAGGGGGATGGGCAGAGTTCCTGCATCCCATCAAGCCATAATCTGTTTTTTGGGTGGATTAATGTTCTTTATTTGAATGTAGGTGTTGCAGATTGTAAAGCAGTTGGGGTCATTTGCAATATGCTCAAACCATGGTGAGTGAGTAACAGTTTAGCATATGGTGTGAAATTAGCTAGAAAGTTAAATTTCTTCTTCCTTCTTGTCACCCACAGTGCCCAAATCTCTCCACATACTCCTACTTACTAAAAAGTGCAAATATAATCAGGACTCATAAGAATGAGCAGTGAAGTAGAGCTAAGAAGAAATCGACGTCTTGTGAGCTGGAGATTGTAGGATGCAGCTCAACGCAATTGTCACCCAGTAGCTTCATCCTGGGCGATAATCTGCCTACTTCTGTGTCTGTTTCGCCAGCCCAATCGGCTTATAAACTGGGTGGAGTAAGAAATGTTCTATGTGACTCATGGACAGAGGGTTAGTGTGACAGGACATTGCCTGCACTGGTTACTTGTTACCTCTAGTTTAACTCATGTTGTTGATCTGTAACAGAAGGAGGTAGTATATTTTAGGAAGTAGTGCTCTGAGAACCCTGGGATGAAGCTCTATTACATCCCCTCCAATGCTGACACACCCTTAGAGAATAGGGAATGGATGCTGTAATTCAATGTACTGTATTTAAGCAGGGATTTGAAAGGTAGTTGTGTTTAGAGAATGGTACAGTTTGTGAATCATTTCTCTTGAGAGTTTTCCCAGCCCCCAACTTTCTTGGAATTTTTCTGGAAGAGTAAAGACTTTCTGGTCAAAATAAGGTACCTTTTTAACTTAACTTTGATGTAGTTCTGATTAGGATTTGTTAACTTGTTTTGCCTTTTAAGGATCCTACTTTTTCTTGATGCATTTGGCTTTAAAACAGATTTTTTTTAAAAAAAAGTTGTGCTTTTGTTTTGTTCTTGTTTGATTCTGGTGCCTTATGATTTACATTTGGCTCTAAGTCATTTGCAGTGTTTCTGTGAGAAGTATGGTAATTGCTGGCTAATTCCATGATCTAGTTGAGCTGGGAAATCTCAAGAGACCCATCATATCAGTCTTTATGATCAACTGATATTTCAGTTGTGCAAACTAATGCTATAAAGTCATTATTGTGCTTTTCAATTTAGAAAGTTAACCATCTAGAGAATTTTATTTCTAGACTTTTTAAAAAAAATATTGGCTTTATTCCAGGCTTCTCTTCAAATGTATAAGAACAGACTGCGCTAGAATTGGTTTTGATAAACTGTCTCTCGATTCTATTTTCTTTTCCAGGTCCCGTTCAGCCCCACCGACTCCTGGTCAAAAGCCTCTCTTCAGAACCCAGTCCTGAACATCGCTCACCAGAAGCCCCCCAACGACTCATCTCGGATCCAGGACCTGACCACAACGAAGAGGAAATTGCCAAATTCCGACCGCTCAAGCGTCCCCCAGGACCAAAACCACAAGGTATAAACGGGGCTTCCCCAACCGGTTCCCAGAAGTATGTAGCCTTTGGCATGCTAGCTTTGAATTATGGGAGCTGAGATCAAATGCATCCAAAACCGATCGGGGTTGAAATGGTTTCCCTGCTTCCTCCTTGAGTCCAAGATTAAGGTGCATCTTTTGGAATTTGCCGTCAATGTTGCTGGAGAAGAAAGCTGGCTGTTGATGCCTTTGTAGTCACAGACTCTAGAGCCCAGAGTACAATCCGTCACTCTGAGGCTGTAGGCCAGGGGTGTCAAACTCAAGGCCTGCAGGCCGAATTTTGTCCACAGAGTGCTTAAATCTGGCCCGTGGGGCTGGCCTGGAAATATCAATTCGGCCATCAGCAGCACTCCGCCAGCCAAAAATGGGCCATACAGAGACTGTGGGGGCCCATGCAGCCCGTTTTCAGCCTCCACAGCCTCCAGCAACACTCTGCTGGCCAAAAATGGGCTGTACAGAAGACACCCCATATGCCCCATTTTGGTTGACAGGGTGCTGCAGGAGACATCGGTTTTGTCTCCCATCCCCCGTCCCCCATTGGTCGGCAGAGATGTAGAATGCTGATCCGGCCCTCGAAGAAATCCAGTTTGACACCCTTGCTGTAAGCCATCCTCCTGCAAGCTTTGCCCAGGCCTGAAGGGTGTCTTAAGGCAGGGCCCCACAAACTTGGCATAGCTGGCTGGAGAATTCTGGGAGTTGAAGTCCACAGGTCTTAAAGTTGCCAAGTTTGGAGACCTCTGTCTTAAGGGTTTCTGCTAAACAATAACTTTAACATCATGACCAAAGGGAAAATTAATTACAAGATACAGGAGGACAAATGCTCATAGTTACATTGAATTTTAAATTTATTTTAATTAAAATTACATATCAGTTAAATTTAGATCAAACTGAATGTTTGATTCTATCCCATTTCTTTCTCCTGGACTCACTCACTTTTTGGAATGCAGTCCCTTGACTGCATTCCAAAATCAGATCAGCAGGTGAAGCTCTTGGCTTGAGAACAATTTGCAACAATTTGCATATCCTTGTAGAGGAATGGGCAGTTGTCAAATTAATAAAACGCTTTTTATGTCAATGCTTATGGTTATGCTAAAATCTAATTGGGGCATGCTGGTCTTTTTCAATATAATGGAGTCCAGAGTCCAGGCTCTTTGCTCTGGAACAGGGAAGTTAGGATTTTCAATGCTGGAGTGGGGTGGGCAGCGTGGATCAGGTGATAAAAGTGCCAACTTATGGAAGTAGTCCTTCTATTGGCTGCTTCTGTTAGTAAAATGTGTTGAGTCTGTTTTAAAAGAGCAACCTCATTTCCTTTTCCAGTTCCTCCGAAGCCAGCTTATCTGCAGAATAGCCAGCCCCCACGGTTTCCTGAATCGATCCCCCCACCCCCATCACGACCCCTCCCAGCCGACCCCCGCCTGGGCCGCAGCCCTCTGCCAAAAGATGGAGTGGGTTCCTCGTCTGCCGTCTCCTGCCTCATTGAGAAGTTTGAAAGGTATGAGCTCAACTAGCACGTGAGACCCTGTTTCTCTCTTGTAACTGAGTTGGAGGAGCCACACATACACACACCTAATTGTAGAGGGAGCATGATTTGTACTCTTGAAGATGTAAAGTAGTTGAAGATGTAAAGTAGTACTGCTTGGCATCATTAATTAATGGAAGATTTCTACTGACTCGGAATATATTGAAATGATTAACTGGCACAAAGGCCTTTGTTAAATGACAGAGAAAACAATAAAGGTTAATTCTACTCATGATTCGTTAGATATAATACCCATATTGAAGACACTTGCACATTCATGCAATCTTGGAGGTTTTACACGCAACACAATTCAGAAAAAGACTTTTAACATCCATGCTCTTCTCAAATCTTGAATAGATTTGACATCCACGTATTTCCATGCTTCTCTCGTGTGGCTTTCTTTCTTTTTGTCTTTTTTAATTCATCTACGAATTATTTTATGATGATGGGTTGAAATTCCACTCTCCTTGGCATCATGTGAAGAGACAGTTTCATACTGAGATAATTTGGGGTGCATTGGAGGTTGAAATAGCAGCTTAAAGACTGCATTCTACCACATTGGAGATGTCCTGAGCTTGTGTAAGAAAGACCTGGAGGATGATAACCTTAATTTTAGGTTGGATTGTTATGGATGATACAATGGTGCCATGCATGTTAAGTTTTTGGCTGTTGTCTTTATCAGAAGATTAAAATAAATGTAGATGAATAGTTGGCCTAATCATGTGTGCATATAAGTATTCTATTTTTAGACCAATGTTATCAGTAGACATAGTCCTTGACTTACAACTGTTCATTTAGGGACTGTTCAAAGTTATAAGGGCACTGAAAAAAAAAGTGGCTTATGACCCTTTTTTTACGCTTACAACCGTTGCAGCATCCCCATGGTCACATGATCAAAATTCAGCCCCTTGCCAAGTGACTCATATTTATGACGGTTGCAGTGTCCCAGGGTCTTGTGATCCCCTTTTGCGACCTTCTGACAAGCAAAGTCAACGGAGAAGCCAAATTCACTTAACAACCGTGAACCTAACTTCAGAACTGCGGTGATTCACTTAACAACTGAGGAAAGAGAAGTCGCAAAATGGGGCAAAACTCCCTTAAGTTTTTGAGCTCAATTGTAACTCGAGGACTACCTGTAGCGTTGGGCATGAACTCACTAGCAGATTCTATTTAGCAAATCTTGCCTACTTAATCCAGCATCTGTTCTTCATTTCTTCCTCCCTAACCTTGGCTTTCCTCATTGGGTTGTCATGTTTCTTTTAGGGAACCTATAATCCTGACATCTGAACACACTCCCTCGCCGTGTCCCAGCCCAGACCTCCAAGCCCTAGAGATAAATTCTATGGAACCCTCACTAGATCGTCCAGCTTCATTGGAATCGGCAGAACTGTCTCACAAGCTCCTGGACCTCCTGGCCTTGGAAGGAGGGCAAGCGGCTGTTGGAAATGCTGTCTGCTTGCCGCCTCACGATGGTGGGAAACTGGCAAACCGGGACAGCGGCATTGATAGCATCAGTTCCCCGTCTAACAGTGAGGAGATTTGCTTCGGGCCTGAGGAAGGTACAGGGGAAGGTGCTGGACCGCTGGGGCCTACAACCATCATCAAACGCAGCTCAACTCGTGATTCTGAGGGGGACAGTGACATGGATGATGGAAGTGGGGATGAGGCTGAGCTGCTCTCTGACCTTCCACCTCCACAGACCGAGAAGCAGGATTCTGATGAGGTAAAGGGCTGCGATTCCTATCCCCGGTTTACTATGATAGCCTTTTCTCCATTGCTTCCCCCCAAGCCTGTATTTTTCTGTCAAGCTTAATATGATATTCTTTATTTTTGATTATGCTTTGGTATTAAACCTTAGTAAAAAAAAAAACATAATGGAGATAGAAAGACACCAGTTAAAGAAATAGCAAACCTTTTTTCCATGTTGTAGGTATGACTAGTGAATGTTTTGGCTTGTGCCACTTCTTCATTACATAGGCTCGGTTTCTAAGGGCAGACTCAGATGGCCCAAAATGTACCTAAAGGCACCAGTAGATGTCAGGCTCCAAAAATGAAGAAAGACACCTAACTATTTTTCCAGGAGGATTTTTGCTTTATTTTACAACTATAGACAGAATCTTGCCAAACTGAAGCAAGCTACTACCTCTTTGAAGCATATACTCTGGGAACTATCAGGGAGGGGATTTCTTCCCCCTCTTTATATCACATAAACTATCTGAACTGAATTGTCTCTTTCTTCTCTGGAATATCCTCCCTCCCTCCTGGGAATCTGGCTCATTACATTCCTTTACATCAGGTCCACAAAACGTCATCTGTTCCGAATCATGTTGCCTGACCCATCTTTAATTCTTTCAAAAATATTCTCTTAATCAAAAACAAATTAAATGGCATGCTGAAAATTCCTCTAACATCTTCATGTGCAACAACGCTTCGGGCCTCATGTAAATCCCAGAGGTATTCTTAGGAAATAGAAATGGAAAAGTGATGAATTGTTGCAGCTTCATCGTTTTTTAAAGTGTCCCCTTCCCCAAATAAAGGAAACTGCGGTAATAGTGAATATTCTGGGCGTGGGGCATAGTGGTTAGAATGAATGGCGAAATGCAACCTCACCAATTTGTCTTCTGATGTATGAAGCCTTTCTAGGAATAGGCAAGTCCTCCCACAGCAGCCATTTTTAGAAGTGTGTTCACAACCTGCTCGCACAATTCCCATGGCATCCCGGGCCTCAAGAGATTGCCTGCTATTGGTTTATATTCACTCACAGAATATAAAAATGTATATAATCCATTTTGGTGCCAGTGAGAACTGAATAAATGGATGAGTACAGCATATTTTTGTACAACCATTGTTCATTTATAATCATTGGGATTCTGCTTGAATGCAAAGGGCAAAGAAATTGCTGCTGCTGAGAAACAGACAAAATCCTGGGGTTAGTTTTCATAGCACATCCTGATATACGAAAAAAAAAATAAGAATTTGGTTCATTCCCCACAGCCAAATGGCTTTCAGTTGATCTTTTTTCTCTCTCTCAACAGATGACGGTTCCACAAAAAGTCTTCCGAATTGCCAACGAGCTTCTCCAAACAGAAAAGGCATATGTGTCTCGCTTGTACCTACTGGACCAGGTAATAAGAATGATGCCTAGTAGCCAAAATTACCGGAGCATGCACAGTTTTTAAATGAAACCTTGAGGCAAGCATAGCATCATTTCTGCAAGTCATGCCAGTTGAGGAAATTAGCAGGATAGTTAGATACTGCCAGAATTGTGGGATGTACTTTTCTGTCTCTGTCAAATAATAAGATTCCATCATATGAGCTGATAAGAAGGGTTATATAATAGATATCTAGAAGATGAAGTATGAGGTAGGGTTTGGGTAGTTCTCCGATAATCACTGATTATACAGAAAGTCGCCAAAACAGAAGATGGTAATAAGTGCCCTTTTTCGTAGGTCTTCTGTGCTCGTCTGATGGAGGAAGCACGCTGCCGAAACTCTTTCCCAGCTGATGTGGTGATGGGCATTTTTTCCAACATCTGTTCCATTTACTGCTTCCACCAGCAGTTCCTGCTCCCAGAATTAGAGAAACGGATGGAAGAATGGTGAGGAAAATAGTTTGGGCTAGCATGGAAAGGGGTATAGCAGATTTTCTTCGTATGTTTATATTGATTTGTTTTTCATAACATGTCCTTGAGGTAAAAATGTTACTTGCTTTGAAAGAATTTCAAGTTTGCCAAGAGAGGTGTTGCATTATATTTGGAAAAAAAAAAGAGGTGCGTCTATAAGTGAGGGGTGTTTTCTTCAGTTATTTGAGTGATCTTAGATTGCTAATATGAAATATCCTATATGATTCAATCACGCCTTCTGTATGATGACTGTTTGCCAGCTCCACACTTCTGTAAACCTGCTGCATCATCTGTTTTCAAGAACTCGGCCATTTATTTCTGGCTCAAGCGTGGTAGATTCAAAGCCAATGTAAAACTTGTATTTTTTCGAAATGAGGTAGTTCTGTGAGCCGTCTTGGCTTTCATAACAAACCTCCTCCTTTTTGGCATTACAAATTCAGTAGAAACGGAGCATCTCTTGATCATCTTCAAACTATTTTTGAATAGAAACTCTAGAAATGTGTAAGCTTCTGTATAGGTTAAAAAAAAAAAGACTTCAGAGATCATTTAATCCAGTTTTTTGCCCAGTGCAGAATCTGTAATATAAGACCCCTGAAATGACTATCTAGATCAGGGGTGTCAAACTGGATTTCTTCCAGAGCCAGATCAGCATTGTAATTCTCTGCAGGGGGGTGGGGGTCGAGAGAGACAGGATGGATGCCTCCTGCAGCACCCTGCTGGCCCAAACAGGGTGGGGGGAGGGCCTCGTGCAACCCCCCCATGCCCCATTTTGGTGGGCAGAGTGCTGCTGGAGGCTATCCAGGCTGAAATCAGGGTGCATTTTCCGAGGCACCACCGGCCAGTCCTTTGCTATTTTCCAGGCTGGGCCTGCAGACCAGATTTAAGCATCTTGCAAGCCGGAATCGGCCTGCAGGCCTTGAGTTTGACATCCCTGATCTACACTCAGCTGAAAAGTGTTCACCATCTTCCAAGACAAATTGTTCGAGATATTTCAATTGAGATCCTTTGTTTACTGCTGTATAGTGAGGCTTTCAAGTATTCTCTTGTCTCCTGCCCCTCAGCTGCCAGATCAGCACTGCATTGACTTTTTCTGAGGTATTAAATTGTGGCTTCGTGACTTTGTCTTCTTTTTGAATGTTTCTGCTTCACTTCCTTTGCCTTTTGTGACAATTCCTGCTCTGTCTAGATAGCTTCATCTTTTCAAACTTAGTATCCTTCAGCTATTTCCAGAATTGAAGTCCACAAGTCTTAAAGCTGTCAAGTTTGAAGACCCCTGCTATAATAAAATAATTTCAGATTACTTTCATCTTTATTTTTGGAGGTCAGAAGGCTTGAAAATTATGAATCTCCCTAATGTTAGTATTCTTGAGTTCTAATGAACAATTATTTACTGTAATTTTCCTTCCAGTTAAAGTTTGTAGTAAAATTTTCCATTTGATGGGAAAGTACTGAACAAAGTCATTTGTAGAGTCCTACACAATACACTAAACAGTGGCTTCACAAACCAGAGTGATTGAATGTGTTCTATCTCACAATAAGAAACCAGCATATTTCAGCTGGCATTTTATGTGCAACGGAACCTGTGAATGAAGAATCTCCTGTGAGCCTCGTTTCTGGGTTTCTTTTCTTTTCATATATCTCATTATTTCTATTTTTCCCAGGGACCAACACCCACGAATTGGGGATATCCTGCAAAAGCTGGCTCCCTTTCTCAAGATGTATGGCGAGTATGTGAAGAACTTTGACCGTGCCATGGAACTGGTAAACACCTGGATGGAGCGCTCAACACAGTTCAAGGGCATTATCCATGAAATACAGGTTGGTCACCTGTGTTTTAGTTTAGGCTATTTAGATTTGTGGCAACAATGTGCCTCTCCTTCCTTTCCAGCCCCCCGTCCCCACCCCCAAAACAAACAGCAGAATCTAATAGCTGAAGCAATCTAGGGAATGGACACAATCCTGTTCCCATTTTAACATGGAACCAGCATGTCTCCTCCTGAATATTGAAAGAATATTATAGGCCGAGGAGTAACTTTGCTTGATTTATGTACCCCCAAAGAAAAACAAAACAAAACTTGGTGGATGGGTAGATGATTATTTTACTATATCCATCTTCCTGCGAGTATTGTACAGCATAAGTTGGGAAGCCATTCAATGGAACAGTCCAGGTTTCACTTTGTGGCTCAAGATCCAGACAAAATCTGTGCATTTGGAAGGATTTATTGGGAAAGAGCAAATCCTCGTGGATCTCCTGGGATGTTTGACTCACTCTTGCGAATTCTGCCTTCAGTTTCCTGGGTCTTAGTTCCCTGCAAGGGCAGGCGTTTGGCCCTTGGAGAGCTGCCAGGCAGACAGTTCTCTTGAGATCCCTCTCTGTTGCAGCGGGAAGAGATATGTGGGAACCTGACCCTGCAGCATCATATGCTGGAACCGGTCCAGAGAATCCCTCGCTACGAGCTGCTTCTGAAAGACTATCTCCTGAAACTGCCCCAGGACTCGCCTGACTGCAAGGATGCCCAAAGTGAGTGCAGCTCTCAAGGGATGATAATAAGGAGAAAGGCAGGGCAGTGGGTGAGACAGTATCCTAGTCCACAGCAAGCATGAGAGGGGAAATAGAATGTGACATAATGCATTATTGTCTCCTGGGTCACTGGGAGATACTTCCTCCCCACTGTAGCTGTTTGAATCTCTGAGTCAGTCAGTAAATCTGGAAAACTGAAAGAAGTGGCAGACCCAAAGCAAGCCAGGTTCAGAATTAATTATACTCACAGTGGTCAGTTGGCTAGTCACAATGGCAGATCTCCACACCATTGGGACTCTGCTATGTGCTCAGCATCAGGCTGCTTTCTGGATCCATAAAAGGGGCCCCTTCTTTCTCCCCTTCCGGTGAAATTAGACATATCAAGAAATTTTACAACGTTTCCAAATCTCAGATTTGGGTGTTTTTTAAAAAAATGGGGATTCCTGGGGCTGGAAAAGATGACTGAAACCTGTCATATGCATGGGATGCTTCTAGTTCAGTACCTGGGAGTTAGGGACTGCTTCCTAGGAGCTGGTGTGGTTTGGCTTCTAGCTACTAACCTAGCCATCCATCCCAGCCCATTTGAAAGGAATCCATCAGGCCCCACTATGCATGACTTTCGTTTGAAAATGGTTATAAACTGGGGAACGGCCTGAGTTTAATTCCCCGTGGAGTAAGGCCAATAAAATAACAAAGGTTCTTTTTTTTTTACTCCTCCTCTTATATAGAATCCCTGGAACTTATTGCAACTGCTGCAGAACACTCCAATGCAGCCATCCGCAAAATGGTACGTGTGGGGTAGAATTATAGTTATCAAAGACCAGCTGTCTGGATTTTCCTTTCCTTAGAAATAGGAATGCATGGGGAATGGATTCAAACCAGATCCTGAGGAGAGACTTTGCCTATGAATGGAGTTGAGGGTTCCTCGGGCCCAATTCAGAGACAGTTTTAATTAAGTATGATGTTTTCATCACATGATTTCTCTTGGCCACACTGCTACCTACTATAGAGAAGATCCTAGTAGATAGTAGGAAAAAGGTGTTCGGAAGGAGACGATGTCAAAGACCTCTAAGCCAAAGCTATGGAGAATGATGTTGGACACAATACTTGGCTAAATGAACAAAGGATTTCATCCGACATGAAATAGCGTACTGTATTATGTTCTGTGTAATCCATTTGTAGTGTTAGCTTTCTGCCTCCATCTCTGCATATACATACAAATCAACATCCATATCATGGACTTGTGTCTTTATCTATTAGTACCCAAGAAAGTGCTACTCTTTGCAATTCTCAAATCCTCTTCTTTCACAATTCTCATTCCTGCTTCCAAGTAAGCTCTATTCCCAAACCACTGTACCTGGTACTGGTCAATACGGTTTTTGCATGGAAAGTTACTTCAGTAGCTTTTTGGAATCAAATTCCATATACTGCTGGATATGGTTTGTTTTTATCAAGTCAGATTCCTTCCTGGCTCAATTTTAAGTCATCTGGCGATGACTGTTTAACATTTCAGCCAGTGATTTTTTTCCCCCTATTACGAACTACATGTTCCTTTCTAAACTGGAAATGCTATGGTTGAATCTGGGACAATCTGCATTCAAAGCAAGTTCTATGCTTCATCTTAGATAACGAAGTAATTATATGAGTGGGCATGTAACAGACATAGAAGTGCCATAAGCTAAGTTTCTCATAAAATTTTTTGACTTCCCTTTTAGACCACTTTAAAACAGACCCTGATGTCCATTTGTTTTAACTGCTTTATTGACAGAAATGTTTTTTTAAATGTTAAATGTTAAAAAGAAACAAAAACATCTTACAATATATAATAAAAAGTTCTAGCTTTAAATTTTGACCACACAGAATAATATTGATGAGTTTTGTAATGGAGAGAGCCAGTTCTTAAAGAACAAATACATATAATCGATCCAAGGCCACGACCGATCATTACTGATGTGAGGCTGGAAGGGAATTATAGTTCAACAATATCTGAAAGGTTTCCCAAACTATTGTTCATACTATATTATTTCTTTCAACACAATAGAGTTGTGTAGCAACCACGAACACAGGATTTACCATAACTTTTCTTCTAGGAAAGAATGCACTCATTATTGAAAGTGTACGAGCTGCTTGGAGGTGAGGAAGACATAGTCAATCCTACCAACGAACTCATCAAGGAAGGGCACATCCTGAAGCTTTCAGCTAAGAATGGTACCACCCAAGACCGCTACCTGATCTTGGTGAGAGGCGGGATGGGAATCTCCACCCACTATTGGTTTGGCTTATGATTTTAATGATCAAACTTGGAGAGTCAGAAAAGATCTCTGCTTCTTACTGTTATTTCTTTTCTTTTCTTTTTTCTTTTGGTCCAGTTCAATGACCGATTGCTTTACTGTGTGCCAAAACTGCGTCTCATAGGCCAGAAATTTGGAGTCCGTGCTCGCATAGATATGGAAGGAATGGAGGTAATGCAAGAAGAAGCTGTGGGAGAATTAGCTAAATATTCACGACAAGTAAACTGTTTGATTCACATTCACCCTTTTGGAATAAGATCGGGGAACTATGGATTCGCACATGCCGTGTGGAGAGAGACAGAGGTGGATTTAGTACTCTTTTTCAGTTTTACTAGGTTCTTAAAAAAAGTGCTAAATTATTAATAATAAAAGACAAAATAATATAATCAGAAATATTTTCTGATTCAAATAATGAAACTATATTCTAAATTAGGGTTTACAGACAGCCTGAAAGGTTTTTAAAACATTGTGGTTTCGTCAGTGCAGCCAGTGATTAAAATGTTGGATTGAAACTGCACCTCATGGAGGGCTCCATGGAGAACCTGGTCAGTCTCTATCTTTCAAGTTCCTTTTGTGAGACTAAAGGTAACTTATGTACAGGTAGTCCTCAACTTACAACAGTTCATTTAGTGACAGTTCAAAGTTACTAGCACTGAAAAAAGTGACTTATGACTGTTTTTCCACACTTACAACTGTTGCAGGGTCCCTGTGGTCATGTGATCAAAATCCAGGTGCTTGGCAAGTGGCTCATATTTATGACATTTGCAGGGTCCAAGGGTCATGTAATCATCTTTTGCAACCTTTTGACAACAAAGTCAACTTAACAGCCGTGTTAGCAGCTGAACAACTTCAGTCATGCACTTAATAACTGTGGCAAGAAAGGTCATGCAGTTGGGGAAAATTCACTAAACCACTGTCTCTCTTGGCAACAGAAATGTTGAGTTCAGTTGTGTTCATAAGTTGAGGACTACCTGTACATTGCCCCAAGTTCCTTAGAGGAAAGTCAGGATAGAATGGCAAATAAATGAGCTGAGAGATAAATATTTTAAGTAAGTAAATGGATCGTGATTGGGGGAACCGTTTTTCCAAAGCATGGCCACAAAGCTAGCTGTCATGCGTGCAAATATTCATTTGGGAATGGGGCTTGTCCTTGACAAGACAACTGAGGAAAGGTCTACTTGTCTGTGTGAACCAGCGTTTGTCATGCCCCTGGCAGAGACTGAGTCTGAGGGAGAGGAGGAACAGACGACAGGGAGTGGAAGTTTAACTGGAGGTTGTGGAGGAGGCTGGGGAAGGGCAGACGCCAGCTGAGCAGTCGGAGGATCCAGGCCCATCCCCTATCTATCCTTGGGCACGGAGGGAGGAGAGGATAAGGGAGAGATGTGGTCTCCTCTGGAGGAGGGGGCCTTGATCCTCTTCATAGGCTGCAGGTATGAGAACTGAATAAGAATTTGGATCTGCGTACTGGCAAACGCTGGAAACAAAGCGTGTTTTATTTTGGTCTGGTTATCTTGGTTGGCATCCTTCCAACAGACTGTGCCTTGTTATCTCCTTGAATTTGGTAAATGCTTCTCCTGTTCCATTATGGAAATTTTGTCATTGTAGTTTGTTTGGTTTTTTATTTCACCTCTATCTGCTCATTAAATTCGGACTGTATTGCTTTCTTTTGAAGACTATTTTTGAGTACATTTTATCTCCAACTGGGTATTATTGAACAGTGGGGCCAAATTGGAGGCATTAAAGGACATTTATTTACGTTTTGGATTTTGTTATGTTTGTGTTACACTCTGGGTCATCACAGCCTTGTGCCTCTTTTCTTCTATGTAGTTAAAAGAGACCAGCAGCCTCAATGTGCCTCGGACCTTCCTTGTATCAGGGAAGCAGCGATCCCTAGAGCTTCAGGCCAGGTACTTCTCCCCTTTTCTTTTCTCAAAGTAAGCGAATTGCCTTCTGTTGAGCAACTCATCTTTGCGACTCAGTGATTTTTCTTTTCTGCTTGTTTTCCTTCGGATCCCATTAGTAGGAATTCCATTATTCTCAGATCTCGGTACTTCTTGCTTTTCCTTCACCATCAAATCCCAAAACAGACTAACTGAGCAATCGTCCCATTAATACAGGACAAAATGCATGTGCACACACCCCAGTACTGTACTCTCTCTCTCTCTTTTTTTTTTTTTTTTTTTGAGACGGGCCATGTTATACTGCAGCTATCCCAATAAAATGCCTTGGGGAAAACAATGATCTTTCTCTTTTAGGACTGAAGAAGAGAAGCGAGACTGGATCCAGGTAATTCAGTACTGCTGCTCAAGCTATATATTGCTGTGTTTGTTATTTATTAAATGAATTTATATAGCTACCCAATTTACACATAGTGACTTATTTGTATGGACCAGTAAGAAAACAAAGGAAGAGTTCAGATGTTGTTACAACTATATCATCTCTCTGTGCAAAATTCAAATCCGTGTCTTTTTAAGTTTCGCTTAATTAGCAGATGACTGAGTATCATTTTAGATACATGTTTCTTCATTTCAACAATTTTAACACGTGTGGACGTCAATTCCCAGAATTTCCCAGCCAGCATGCTGGGAGTTGAAGTCCACATACTTTAGTTACTGAAGTGGAGAAACACGGATCTAGATTATATTAGAGTGGATGTGTTTCTTAGGTCCAGCAGATACCAGGAGGGATCTTTGATCAAAACAGGGATGGTGGTAACCCTGTCTCAGATTAATTTTTTTGAAGGTCTGTGTTGGCACTGTACAGACTACTTTCAAGCAATGCAGATCAGAGCATTGGGCATGTATCCATGAAGATCACGTACGTTATCATGTACCTTAGTACGTGACAAACCTTGCACCTGCACCTATGTCTGTTCCCTTTCTTACAACAAAAAGACAAAAGTAGAGACAAGAGAGATAGTGTTGCTTCCATCACAAACCAGACAGACTCTGGGTAGAGCACTGTATACATAGGAACTCCTTAAAACTGGTTTTACCCTTGCTCCACGGAAAAGGGCTGGCCTTGTTTCTCTTCCCAGGTCTGTTCTTTCTCTCCGGTGTCCATTTTGTAATCAAAGATATATCATTAAACCTATAGGCGATACAGGCTACAATTCAGAAACATGAACAGACGCTGGAAATGTTCAAGCAGCTTGCCAGCGAAGATGAAACGCCGCCTAATTCACCAGTGAGTCACAGTTTTGTGTGTATCCGGGAGAGCTAGAGTGAAAAAGGGAATGGGCATGCGCACGCATCTCTGGTGAGACAAGCAAAAATGTATCGATGCAGTGTGTCAATGTGTATGTCAGTGTGCCTCAGATGCTTGTAGAATTGGCTGTAGCCGGTATGTAAATTAATTAACAGGCAAAAAAACTGCAGCAGCTCATTAGAATTACGTAAAAATAAAAATGGTATTGTACAGTCTCTGTACCTTTCTGCTGATCAGCAAGATGTCTCTTAATTTTACGTAACTAGTTCTAGCTTTTCTTGGTTATTCCTCTGGGGGTGTTTTCCAACCTTGGCAATTTTCAGATTTGTGAACTTCAACTCGGTTTTCTTCAATGGCCAAGCTGTCTATGGAATTCTGGAACTTGAAGTCCAAACATTGAAAATTCCCAAGGTTGGGAAACAGTGCTCTCAATCTCAGCCATTTTTAAGATTAGTGGACTCCCAGAGTTCTCCAGTCAGTCAGTGCCTGGGGAGTGCTGGGCATTGCAGTCTACATATCTTAAAATGGCTGAGCCTGAGAAACGCTGTTCTAGAGTATGCAATTTTACCAGGTATTGTTTCTCTAAATTCTTTCAGTCATTATTTGTGCTGTTGCTAGACCCTGCAAGGTTGTGTTCTTTTAAATGAAGTTTCCTGAGAGTTTGGATTTAGTTTCTGAGCCACAAAGATTGGCCAGTGTTACATCTCCTCCCCCTTTGTAACTTGAAGTAGAATATTTTAGCCGTTTGTCTGAGCACTGAAATATGCATAGACTTCTTTAATCTTGAATAGGTTTGTTTTAATCCTATCCCTCCCTCCCTCCCTGTGCCCCATATTGCAGGGTTGTGAGTTGGGCCGAAGGGCACCCACGCCAATCCGGGAAAAAGAGGTGACTTTGTGTATGCAGTGCAAAGAGCCTTTCAACGCTCTCACCAAACGGAGACATCATTGCCGGGCCTGTGGCCACGTGAGTGTTTTCCTCTTCATATCTCTCCATACCCTAATCCCCTCTTCCCGTTTCCTTTGTGGAGAGAGGCAAGGTACAGCTATCAGCTTTGCAAGTAAGTGGTGCTAATAAGAGCTACTTCGGTCTCATCTCCCACAACGCTTGCTTTTTTTAGTGTTGACCAGGAAGCCTTTCTGGCTGATTTGTCTGCTCTGGGATGTGTCTGTCAGAGGGCGTGCACTTTAGCCATAGTACATGAGGCCTAGATCCAGCCACTATCACGTAGCTCAAGCTACCATCGAGGATTATTATTAAAAATAAACATTGCAAAATTGAAGAAGAGGGTTGGTACAAAGGTTACCTTGAGTCCTTCAGCAATCTAGTAAATTTTGAGTGTTCTGAGCTGTTTACAACTTACCCAATTTTGTGATAACATGAAGCATTGCCTTGCTCTTTACCTCATTCCCTGAGCCTCCAGGCCCTCCCACTTCGACACAGGCTTACCTGCTTAAACCAAGTGAGTAGAAAAAGCAGGAGCAAGAAGTTCTGCATGATTTGTTTTCTTCCCAGAGAGGACTTTCCAACATTCATTCATTCATTCATTCATTCATTCATTCATTCATTCATTCATTCATTCATCTGCTACGATCCCTGCAGACTTCTAGGATACACACAACAACAACAAAAAATACAATAAAAACAACCCAACAAACACTTAAACTAAAGTACTGTAGACATTCCAAACTATTGACCGGAGGCACTGCTGAATGTGTGTCTCATCTGTTTCAATCAGTGTACCAGAACAAGAGTGGACACAACTCTCTTCTATAGTATATGGAGTGGTCCCCTGGTACATCACTGCCCATGGGATTAGACACTGTCCAGTGGCCTCGGGGAAGGGCTACTGGTCCTGTGAAATGGACATGTTCAAAAATGTCAAATATTTAGCATAGATGTGTTGAATTTATATTTACCGGCAAAGAAATAAAGTTGGTAAATATAAATTCAACACAAAAGCGACTGCCTGCAAAGGCTCCTGGATTGGGGCTGAAAGGCCCCATCCCATATTTGGAGAGACGAGGTTGCCCTGATAAAAAAACACTTATTCAGCATAGATCTTATAAAAGCAGAAGCAGAAATCTCCAAGGACTACTCATTGCAAGGAAATTAAGTAGAAAATGTTCAGTACAGTAATCAGTACAGATAAAAAAACAAAAGCAATAAATTTAAATTCTAAAAGATTAACCACAGATTAAAACAATATCCCGTCAATAAAAAATATATATTTGCCCCCAGTTGATCTTCATTGTCATTTAGAATATGGCAACACTATACATGATATGAGTTTTCTTACCTGACAGAAGGAAGACAGTGAGAGTGTTTTCACTTTGTCCTGCAAATGGTGTCTATAAAGGAGAAATTGGGATTAGCTGATTGCTCCGATAATCAGGGCAAAGAGCAGGTGGTCTCATTAACCTTTGCCACAAGACCAAGTTGTTTTAGACTGGGAGACTCTGTTAAATAGTTTCACTAAAATCTGTAGAGGGAAACCCAACTCCTGTCCTGGTGCATGGTGACAGGAAATTCACCCATCAACTTCAAGCAGCCATCTTAATCGTTGTCTGGAGAGATTTGCTCCCCAGCATTGTTCCAAGGTTGGAGAACAGACTGAAATCCTTTCTTGCCAGCCTGCCTGAGGATGGGAGAGAAGAGCAGTTGAAGGGTCCATTGTGGAAGAGCCCTAAAATGTCCTCTAGATGATCTTGGGTGTCTACCACCACTGATGGCAAGTTGTCACCTGCAGGTTGTCTGTGGAAAATGCTCAGAGTTCCGGGCCCGCTTGGTGTATGACAACAACCGGCCAAACCGTGTCTGCACTGACTGTTACACTACGCTTCATGGCTCCCCCGCCAGCCCTGTGCCCCATCCCAACACACCCCAACGCCGAAAATCCATTCTGGAGGTAAGAATAGTACTTCTATCTAAGGCTGCCTTTACTGTATTTCTGCTATGATTGCACAGTGTCTCTCTTACAGCATCTCTCTGAAACGCCTTCTCTTCCCCATCCCTCATTTTCTCTTCGATTTGCCTGCTTCTCATTAGCTTGTCCTATTTCTTACTTTTTCTAGTTAGAACCTTATGGTTGAACCCAGTGTTGTTTTAGACATATGTCTTGCCTTTGACTGACCCCTTGGAATAGATCCAAGCCATTTCTATATTTACAAAATGCTCCTTGATCTCTTTAAGAAGTTTTGAAAATGCTGGCTCGGGAATTCTGGGAGTTGATCTCCTCAAGCCATAAAGGGGCCCTAGTTCTGTTCTAATCGCTAGATTTTTCATGCACTTATGGTATAGCGGAGATCTTGGTGGGTAACACCTACCGTTCTGCTCTTCCTGCAGAAACAAGCCTCGGTGGTGGCAGAGAACAGTGTGATCTGCAGTTTCTTGCACTACATGGAGAAAGGAGGGAAGGCTTGGCACAAAGGCTGGTTTGTCATCCCTGAAAATGAACCTCTGGTGTTATACATCTATGGAGCTCCACAGGTATGGGAGTGCCTCTCTGCCCCTTACTTTGGCTTCCTTACTTTAGCCTAACCTGGAAGACAGCAACACATCTCCTTTGGGGTAAGAATGCCAACCCCACCCCAGGGTTTAGAGTAAGAGCCCTACTCACACATTTTAGGTAGGGCAATATTCAAGGGTTGCAATTTCTTCCTTTTTTAATAGCCGCAAAGTGCACAGCTATCACACAGTGATGTCATCTTTGGGGAGGGGTGAGTGCAGATGGGGATGCACGGTAAGCACAGAAGGGGCCTAGTCTAGGGCACTTATTTTGCTAATAGCTTATTTGAGTGCTGCTTCTTGGAATTATAGGGCAGAAAGTCTGTTGAATGATAATGGGGCTCTGAGGCTTCAAAAAAAAGGGAGGGGGGGCTGGAGTGCTGCATTCAGGCCACTAAGTGCCTTCTCCTGACCTCAAGAGTGTTTCATGTCACCTTCTGCCCAAAGATAAAAAAATCAGCTGTCCAAAACCAATGGGCTCATCTGGTATGAATGCTCAGTTTGTTTTGAATCCCTTTGGGAAAAGAGATGTCTAAAACAGAAGGACAATTGATCTCGGCTCACCAAGTCAGTTTAGGGCTTCTTTATAATCCCACCCCCCCACCCCCCCTCATCGTGCCTCCTGCTCTGTCGTCCTGCAGGATGTAAAAGCCCTGCGCTCAATGCCCCTGATTGGCTTCGAAGTCAACCTTCCTGAGCCCAGCGAACGGGTGGACCGACGCCATGCCTTCCGGATCAGCCAGAGCCATCTGTGTTGGTATTTCAGCCCCGAGACTGAGGAGCTGCGGCAGCGATGGATGGAAGTGTTGAGCAGGGCAGGCCGCGGAGAAGAAGCAAAGACGCCCCCTTCCATTCTGGAGGCCGATGAGGATATGGAAGCAGAGAGAACCTAAGGCAGGGGCCTGAGGAACTGGGAAAAATGGACTCTGCCCCACGTGGGGACTTTGCTCACTATTCTCTGACCAGTATACTTGAAACTATTTTTCCTTCTTCCTCTTTCTCTCTAGCACTTTCCCCGTTCTTTTTGTCAGCATCTGCCATAGCCATCTGACCTGTCCTCAGCCATGATGTTCTCTGCCATACCCCAGCCATAGGGATAAAGCACATGCACTGAGATTTGCTCCAGGCCAGTTCTTCCCATACCATAGCATGCAGTAACCCGCACCCCTCTCCAGCTTAGTTCCTTTCATGTTCTCTTCTATGCATGGAAAAACTGATTTGAGAAAGCGATATTTTTCTTTTAAGAACCTGCTTCCCCCTTCTTTTACCTCTCGGGCCAAGATCTGTTCTTCCAATTCCCCCACTGCTTATTTAGCACTTACTGAACTCGTGATTTGGGAAGACAAAAATGGGGGAGTGTCCTTTCTCAAGTATCTGTTTGCCTCTTTGTTTGATAACTTATTCCACTAATTCCCCATCTCTGAGATTATGTAGGGTGTTTCAGTCTGTGGCAGATTTGATAGATAGGCAATCTTCCATTATAACTTGAAGCCATTCTACCAGTCTTGATTGTTGTGCCAAATGGGAGTAAACCTGAGTTGGGTTAGATTGAGAGAAGAAAAAAAAAAAGATTTGTCTTTACCTTTGTACAGCTTTTCTCTTGAGGATAAGTTGTTCCTCATCATAAGAACTCATGAGTTGGATACATCCCCTTATTAATTTACTGTTACAACTTTGTGGAATCCTAAGACTGATTTCAGTTCCACTGAACTCAAGCTATAAAATCCTCCAGGTACCATTTGGATAATGCCCAAATGGCCCTTTTTCAATTAAATTGAATGGCTAAAGAGAGCTATTATAGTTAGCTACTATTAATGATGATCAGATGGGCACTGGTGTCCTTTTGTGTATTGTTGGACTGGATCTCCTGCCATTTTTCATCACTTGGCCATATTGGCAAGAACTGATGGAAGCTGAGAGTTCTGCCACCTCTGGAGGGCCATATCTCGCCTACTACTGATCTAAAAAGCATCTATAAAACATCATCTTTCTGAGGATCACCGAGGATAGACACGCTATGGGAGAAAGTTTCTACAGCAAACAGTAGAGATGCTAGAGACTACATACATTAAGTGGGAATACGACTAAGAGTTTACAAGAATCCAGAGACTCATTCATTTCAATGTCAGCATTTCATCCCAATTTATTTATCTATGCTCTCAGTGGCTTGTGAACATAATGGGGCTAGGGAGATTAGACTTTTTGGGTCAAAGCAAAGGTGCAGAAAGAAGTTCTCAAATGTATCAGCAACTTCCAATCAAGTGGCCTATGGGAGAGAATGGGGAAAGAGTTGAGAATATATTTTGCCTTGGAGTTCTTTTAAGGGTTGGTGAAATACAGACCAGGGCCAAATTGCTGAACTTAAGTCTTGGCTTAAGATCCACAAATATTAGAATATGGTGCTAGTGCAGTATTAATATCGCCATTAACGCATACTGTACAGGTAGTCCTTGCCTTATGACCACAATTGATTGCTAAGTGACTTTTACCCCATAGTGAATCATTGCAGTTTAGTAGCATAGTTGCTATGTGAACCTGGCTTCTCCATTGATTCTGCTTGTCAGGTCGCAAAAGGTGATCGCATGACCCTGGGACACTGCAACCGTCATAAATATGAATCAATTGGCAAGTGTCTGAATTCTGATCATGACTATGGGGATGCTGCAATGGTTGTAAGTGTGAAAAATGGTCACATTTCACTTTTTCGATGCCATTGTAACTTCAAACAAACCACTAAATGAACTGTTGTAAGTTGAGAACTACCTAGTATAAGCAAGAGTAGCCTTTCTCAATAACCAAACTGAGAGATCACGAAGTTGCTTATAGCCGTGGTAGCACAAGTGTTTAGAATGCAGTACTGCAGGCTCTTAACTGCCAACTGCCAGCAGTTTGATCCTAACTGGCTCAAGGTTGTCTTAGCCTTTCATTCTTCTGGGTTCGGTAAAATGAGGTCCCAGCTTGTTGGGGGCAGTAGGCTGACTCTGTGAACTGGTTATAGAGGGCTGTAAAACACTATGAAGTGCTATATAAATCTAAGTGCTATTGCTATTTGGTTTTCATAATGCTGCTCAAAAAAAAAAGGAAAAATATTAGTGAGATATGTACTGATTTGCAATTTTAGAAACGTTTCATGCTGTTTTCAAGAGCCAGTCTCCAGCATCAAACACCCAGGAAAACCCTCTCCCTGCAGAAATGAAGGCGTTCCATTGGCAAATAATGTGAAGTTCCCAGCTAGCTTAACATGGATCACTCTTGATCTAGGTAATAGGAGATATATGTGCGTGAGATTCCATACCGTGTGTGGTTATTACAATAACAGATGGAGTATTATTCTTCCCTTGAAACTATATGCAGGTGCTTCCTCTCCTTGATACAATGCACTTAAAATGGTTAACGTCTTAGAGCTCTCTTTTGAGCCTTATTGGATTATCTTGGAAGTTCTCGAAATTCCCTGAAGTATCCTTCTCCTTTCCTCCCTTTTTTTGCTGGTACTGTTTCAACACACAACTGAGTGGAAATTGTGTGTATATGTGGGATTTTTTAAAAGAAAAACAAATCCTTGCCTTATTTTATGTAGGTTTCCTGGTATTGCTGTTGGTACCCATGGTATTCTTTTATCTTCGCCCTCCTGTGGTGTAGAACTAGTGCATGTAACTTTTATATTAAAGAAAGGCCTCAGTATTAAGGGATATACAAAATCTTACCAAAATAATATTTTATTGTTGCTCTTGTATAGTGGCTGGCCACTGCAAAGGTTAGGGGAAGGGAAGCTTTTATTGACCAAAACTTCCTGTGTCCTACCATCATGATTTGTGTATTGTCCATTTTACTTTTTGTTTCATTGTTGTATTTTGTTTTTCATTGTTCTTTTTTTTAAAAAATACAAGATTTTTTTCTGTTACACTCTTTTTTTTTCTTCTTTGAGTAAGAGCAAATGCAGTCCTTTCTTTGCGTAGTAAAGTTGATTAGATTTTGCCTTCCCGGAAGGAGCGGAAATAGTCGCCTCCCATGACTTGAACAAGATGATCGATGAACAGGACACCGCAGGAGAACTTTCTCTGTCAAAGAACCCACACTATTGTTCAATGTTCATTTCAAACTCCAGGAAGGTTAGAACATCCTCCGATTTTGAGGGGAAAGAAACTTTAAAGATTAAAAATATTTTATGCCAACTTGAATTCCATTCAGCCTCTGTTAAGTCAGGAGCAAAGATACAGTCAACAAAGTGCTTCCAATGTGCCCAGGCTTCTGTGGGAGCCTATCATGTGTCCTATAGAAAAAATTCAAGGCTTGGCAGCACGGAGAGTTCGCTGCTGCATCTGTCCCATCTGCCGTAGTTTTTTTCCCCTTCATTTTTTTTTCCTCGTCACCAGCATCCATCCATCTTCAGTGGTCCCACCTGACAGGGGAGACGGATTGCTTTGTATTCCGTTCATGCTGGAACCAGCACTGCAGTCCATGGCCTGAAGGAGGAAGAAACAGCAAAAATAATCAATTTGTTCACGTTTCATGGTTTCCTGAATAAACTAATTGGCTTCTGACCATTGACACAGCAGTTTAGTCAAAATAAACACGTAGTGCCTAATGTAAGAGCTTCAGTTTATCTTAAAATTTTGTTAATTTTCAGTACCAAGTAACTAAGCCTTATTATACCAGCCTCACAGAAGCCTAATTCAAACAAACAAAATTCTCACAATCCCATAACAACACAATTTTAAGAATTGTCTGGCTTTGGAATCAGCTTATAATTCTTCCATGACAAACATATCCCCAAACCTTCAGATTTGTTTCAGATTTACAAAGTCACTTTGGATGCAGCTTGCTCTATAGGGTCAGTCTTAATTTTCGGAAGAATGTACACGATACCTCTTCTTCTTTTTCTTCTTCTTCACTGCTGCTTTCTGCAGCTGGCTGAGATTTGGCAACTGCCCTCCTAGTCTCTTGTTTCTTCTGTGCCAACTGGATAATGGCATCATGCATTACCGCTATATCTCCCTGCTGGCTCTGTCTGAAAAATAGGCACAGTTGCTGGCTTACCTATAGCGTGGGAAGAGGGAAAGATTGCTCATTACCTTGGAAGAGCCAACAATTACCCCATAAACTAGTCTATCCCACCACCCCTTGCCTCACCTAACTCAGCATTGCTGCATGATAAAAAAAAAGGCTGCTCAACAGATAAATCAAAGGCTTTGACCAGCATCCCTTCCCCCAGTGAAGAAAAGCGTGTCAAACTTAAAAGCAGTTTCCTTTAGGTCTCTTCTCCATGCCAGAAATGGATGTCTCCGGATTCTTTTAGCATCAGAGACTAAACATGTACAGTTAGGGGATAAATTTATGACTAATTTTAACTATCCTTCCATAGTAATGGATTTATAAATTTGGGCTAAAATTACAGCCACCAAATGAGCAACATCTAAGAAGCATGTTAATTAAAAAGGAAGCTGCTTCAAACACTTAAACTATAGGACGGATTCACATGTGGTACCAGTCATGGATGGCTTTCTGATAACAATGGTGTAATTCATTCACAATGCTATGCCAAAACAATAGAATTCTCGGTGTTTACATATATACACATATCCAGCTTTGAGTCTAAAATGTAGCAAATGCCCCATAGACTATATTTACACAACAGGGTAACCCAAGTTTACTAAATTTAATCAAATGGCTTTGGTTTACATGCCACCTGTACCACTGACAAATTACATTGGCTCAATTCATGCAACTCAACTGAGCCAAAAACACACTGAACCACTAGGCAAGCAAACTGTACAAAGATAGATAGAATTCTTGATTGGCCAAATGTGATTGGACACACAAGGAATTTGTCTTGGAGTGCTCTTGGTGTACATAAAAGAAAAGCTTAGCTTAGTTAAAACAACTTTCCAAGTAAACGCTAATTTTAATCCTTCAGAGCCAAAGGAACATCTGGAGTTGTTTAGTTATTTTTGCAATTAAGGCTTTTTAGCAAGTCTCATCAGCATTAAATATATCTCAAATGATCCCAAAATACCAACACTTAAAATACTGTTGTCCTCCCCTTTTTCATTCTAGCTCATCTCCCCCATGTCTCCCAGATAATCGTTGGCTCATAAAGTTAATTCTGGAACAGAGAATGGCTTTGAGCTTGGGTTTTCTCCAAATGCCTTCTAGACAAATGAGACAGTTAAAATAAATCATAGTTTACTGAGTAAGCCAAAACAGAACAATTTTTCAAACCATATAAAATCATATTATGGTTTAGAGCAATGCATGGCCAGTGAGTGGCTGTGTACACAATATGCTGTGTATTGAATAAAATACAATGGCCATACCGAATTCTTATTGTACATGGTTCCACCACATGAAGGCTATTGTCCTTGTATTCTGCTCATCTCTAGCTGTCTTAGCAATAGTTATTTCCTTCATAATACTTGCAACATTGGAGATCCTCTTACCTACATGGTTGTTAACCTATATGTCCAAGAACAATAAGGACCAAAAGACCATTCACATGTTGTTTTCCTTTCCATTTTCTTTCATGTCACAACTGTGGTCATCAATATTTCTTTGGGCTAACCCTCTGGGAAAAAGCAGTAATCCTTTTTTTCTTTTAGGTTTAATGTACACATCAATATCTTCACTTGCTGGGCCCAGGCTCTTGTTTGTAGCTGTTTTTAATGAGGACCTTTCTAATACCTCTGCCTTTCCTTCATCAGTTCAGTTATAAACATCTTTCAGTGTAAGTACAGTATTTGCAGACGTTCTACAAGGAGGAAGCTCTTACTTTAAAGACTTAATTTTAAATCAGAGATTCTCCCTTTGTAATATTACTGGATGAAAACTGTCTTCGTTTTTCTGGCAAACTTCACATCCTTCTAATCTGTGTTCAGTTGTAATCTTCAGAGAGAGTGTTTGAAGCTCACACCTATCAATTTTGGCAATAACCTTCAAGTACAGCTAGGTTGATTTGTGGAGGGGTGGTGGAGGCAGCTCATTTGCAAAGCTTTCTATTTCATTGATTCTGAGCAGTCAAAGATAATTAGCTTTAGAGATTATGGTCCAAAAGAGACTAAATATAATTTAAGACTCACAAGCTCATATAAACTTTGTCTTTCTCCCTCCACATGCCCCAAAACCGTTACAAAAGTAAACCATAAATAGTTCACAAGCCACAATAGCTGCATTTGCATAATACGTTATGCCAAAAATTTGCTTAGTGTGCTCTCTGCATCCACTAAGTATTTGTTAAGTCTTACACTTCTCCAGGGAACTGTCATCTACAGAACAAAACTATGACCTAGCATTTTACAAGCACTTGGCTCAACTGCTTTTTTCTTTTTCATAACTGCAATGCTTCCTTATGGAGCAATAGTGCCCCACTGTGGTCAGCTGGTCAGCTGGAGAAGTAAGATCCATTTTAAATCCTAAGCACTAGTTTGGCTAGGATATAGGTAGTCCTGGACTCGGGGCCATATAGAGCCTGCTCATTACAGCTGTAAATTGTGACAGTTACAAAACAGGTCACCATGTGATGGGACCCATTTTTACTACCTTTTTTTTTTGCAGAAGTCACAAAATGAACGCTATGGGCGAACAATGTTTTTGCTGAAAACTTGGAAGTAAATGCCAGTTTTTGGTGAAAACATGGTAAAACATGATTATGCAACTACCAATTGCTGTAAATGAGTTTTAGGTGACCATCGGAATTTTGGAACTGGATCATAAATATCTTTGAGGGGTATCTATGTGACCAGTTATAAGTCAAAGACTGCTGTATGGGATTTAGCATGATGCACTCATCCAACTAATTGTAGCTCAGTCAGCAACTTATACCTTAATGCAACACATGAATCCAGACGTTTCATTGTAGAGTCCTTGATGCTCTCTGAGCTTGGTTGCAATGCTTGTAGATGTTTCATTACTCAACTATGTACTCAATGTTAGTGATTGGATACCCACTCGACTTTATCAAAATGTGCCTAACCATTCAATTCATTATAGCACAATCAATACAATGTTTTCCTACAAAAAGGAGAACATTACCATGCATCAAAAACTTCTCAGAAACAAATCAACACACTGTTATGATTATGTGACATCACTAGAGCATACAAAGTAAAATCCTCCAAAATAACTTAGATAAACCAAAAGACCCAGCAGCCCAAGGGAAAAAACTTAGCAATATACACTATCTACAAAAGATTGGCAGAAGACTAGAAGAGTATACCCATGAACATCAAAGACATAATGAAAACTCAGTCTCTCAACATATGGACAGACTCAACCCCAATTTCAACTGGGAAACTATAAGCATTCTAGGGCAAGCCAAATTTAAAAATACTACGAAATTCCTGGAAATTTGGCATTTAGACAAATCAGCCATCAACAGATACATCAAAATAAACTGTATTTACAGATAGTTCAAGAGATAATAAAAAGGAAACATACAGACTAGTACACATCCCCTGCACAACACATTGATAAGCATGGGTTAACACCAGACAATCATACAGAAAACAGTACTCGCATCAAGGAGAAAACCACACCATCACAAACACTGGCAGGGCAACCTACTGCATACAACCAGGGAGCAAACCCCACAGTCACTAGTGCTGATGTTATCTAGTTGTCTAATGAACTGCCAGTGAGCAAACCAAGATGGGAGAGCACCAAAGATTCTGCCACAGTTCAACAGAATATATTCTGTTTAGTTGGGATAAAGTTGGCTGCTGCTAGGCGATGGATGAGAGCTCAGATGGATTAATTATTTCACACAGTAATTTCACACAGATGCTTATTAGCAACCCTGTTACATCGCACTGGCCATAATAAAATAAGCATCTTGTTGTTGAATCTACGTAAGTATTTAAAAATAACCAAGGCTGTCATATTCTGTCACCTTCACCAACACTTTGCTGAAACTGCATAGCTGTGCAAGCACTTGAAAAAGCACAGCTTCTCTAAGGAGGTACTGACAGGCATAGCAAGCCCTCCCTTTCTGCCAAGCACCTTTTTAACAACAAGCAGCACAATCTTATTTAAAACATTTCCTGGAGAAAAAGAGGCATGGGAGAAAGGCTCAAGTATAACTTTTTTTCCCAGCAAATGCAGGCTACATTTTGTTCAGTTTTGAAAGGAACAATATTCAGTTGGAATAAAGTTGCAGTATGGGCAAACCTCCTCACCTGTTGAAGACTTATAGAAGGAATACAGTGATACCGGTAGTCCTTGAGTTACAATCACAACTGAGCCCAAAATGTATATTGCTAAGTTAAACATTTGTTAAGTGAGTTCACCTCGTTTTTATGACTTTTCTTGCCAGAGTTGTTAAGTGAATCACTGCATTCGTTAAGTTAGTCACATATGGTTGTTAAGTGAATCTGGATTCCCCATGGATTTTGCTTGTCAGAAGGTCACAAAAGCTGAATCACATCATCCTGGGACACTACAACCATCATGAATGAGAACCACTTGTCAAGCATCTGAATTTTGATCTTGGGGATGCTTCAATGGTTGTTAAGAGTGAAAAATGGTCATAAATCAGATTTTTCAATGCTAACACACACACACATATGCCAACTTACAGGTTTTATGAAGCATCTCAACAGCGGTACCAATCAATGTTGGAAAAAGCTCTTGATCTGTGTGAAGGCTTTCAAAGACAGAATGAGAAATGATCTACGTGTGGGGCCATTAAACCCACATAATAACTTCTCTAACTGCACATTACCCAGGAAAACACAGACAGTCATGTGGGAGGGGAGGGGAAGACGGCCCTTTTCTTCCTTTGGAGAGCAACAAATGGAAAATACCTGAGCCAAGCTTCCATCTTCTATTATAGTGTTAAATTCGTTGTTCATCAATTCGGCAAGGAAGTCCTCTATCTCCTCTGGTTCAAGGTCAGCTGCAGAGAGATTGGACTCAAAGTCAAAGACTAGAACTGCACAGGAAAATTTTCAAAGATGACTGGGGTTAAAGTTTCTAGGCCAGTGGTGGTAATTCTACCGGTTCGCCCGGTCCAGGCCCTTTAATTGTACTTGTTAAGCTCCACTAACTTGCTAAAATAAATAACACACAATAGGGTTTCTGATCCTAGAGCCTCTGGCAATATCGTTCCTGGGATACTAGGTGGTTATTATTATTATTATTATTCTTAAAGTGATAGCCCAGTTCATGCTTTTGAAACTATAATAAATTTGAAGCATTATCTCAGCTTTTAAATGTCACATTTTACAAAGTTCATCATGGTAGGGAGGAGCCTAACTCCTAAGGGCTTCATGTAAAATTCAAGACCCACCTTTCTGTGTCATACATAAGACAAATTTCAGGCTCAAGCTCTTCATCTAGCAATGAACGACCGAAAGATCAGATTATCCTACCATCCCTATTCCAGGTACATCACGGGCCATCTACCATCCAAGCAACAGGACAGAATCTCACCATTGCTTTCGAAGTATTGCTCCGCAGCCCCCACCATCCATTCAGCTTTCTCTTGGCTATGTGCCCCTCCAAAGCCATTTTCAACAGCTATCTGCACTTGGAAAAAGACAAAGAAATGTTCATAAACAGCAACTGGGCACTTGCGCAACAAAGAGTTGCTTGGGGTGATAATTGGCACAATTTATATCATGAATAATAGCACAGAATTATCCAGCCAATTCTAATGGTGCTTTCAGGCCTTGGCAGAGCTTTAATAACGAAGCTAATTTGTCTTCCGTGTTGCTAGTTTGGATTCAGGAGTCGGAAAGTCACATTCTTCCTTCAATGTGGGCTTCAATAAAGGTCTACACACCTTGAGATAATCTTGAAGCATTCTTTTCCTTTGTGTAAATATAAGATTAAGTAAATTCATGTCATTTGCTTGACAGCTAAAAAAAACATACAAGGAAAGGAGCACAATTGATCTTTTATTACATTTATTCAGATTTTTACCTTCTATATATAACTTTCCTTTTGCTCATGATCAGTCTGATTTTATTAAATCACTATAGTTTCCAATTCTGTTATGTATGAAAAGTGGTTCCAGATGTTTTCTAAACAATTTTCTCAAGTAGAGCATGCTAGCTAACTGCTCCTCACTAGTTAGCTACACACAAGCTGTGTCTTTTACTTACAGAGCTTAGCTCCTTGGCCAATAGTTTCATAATAACTGAAAATTACCATATAAGGATACTATGTATAGCATAGTAACACATGTACAGAATGGGGAAATGTAAACAGTGAAAAGCATCTGAGTATGAGTTGTATCTTGAAGTTGAAAGTTCACCTTTTGAATATGTTGGTATTATTAGTCTACATAATAATATAATGTGCATTTGTTTACTGAAATGCTTTTATTTTTGACCAGGCTGGAACAAGGTTTACATAACTATGGTGAACCAAATTTACTGGTGAAAGATGGTACAATTTCTTCGAAGGTCATTCCCCGGATAAATAATTTAACATCTTCACCTCAACAGAAAAGTTACTTCCTCTCTCCTCATTTCTGTCCAGACAACATAATATTTTATATACTGTATTTGTATGTGAAGTTATTATATTCTATCTCTCATTTGCTTTGTTGATTATGAAGAATTAAATATTTATCACAGTGTTACATAAACAGATTGGCTAGGGTTGCATGCCATAACGTATTATTAGCTAGCCAACCCATAGTTTAGCCTATCACAATGTGTTCCTTTCAAGTCCTGCTGTGCTGCTTCAATGTGGCAGGCTGGGGTTAGGTGGGCTGTTGTCCCTGGAAGGAATGAGGGAAGAACACAGGGGGTGTCTGTCAAGAATACGAAGCTCATCCTAGCTGCCCAGCTAAAATAGGTACCACTCTACACTAGGCAGCTACAATATATAGGATGATCACTTTAACAACAAGGGCAAAGGCATCATTTTATACTGAACAGAAAAAGGCAAGAAAAACTACAGGTACTCCTTGACTTATAACCCATTTGTTTAGTAACACATTTGTTTGAACTTGCAACAGAACTGAAAAAAGTATCTTATGACTGATTCTCACACCTATGACCATTACGGCACCCCCATGCTCATGTGATCAAAATGTTTGGCAACTGGCATCTATTTATGATCGGGGTGGGATGTTACTGGTTCCGCCAGTTCTAAAGAACCGGTAGCTCTGAAGAGCAGCAGATCCCGAACTGATTCTCTGTTTGCTGGTCTTTGGCCCACTCGCCCGCCTGGGCTCTTACCTGTCCTTTATTTCCTGCTTCTTCAACCTCAGCTGCTTTGTGCAGCGCAGCTGAGGTTGAAAAAGCAGGAAAAGAGGCTTTTCAAATGCTGCGCACCTTTCAGCTGTCCAAGTGGCAGAGCTGAAGGTTTTTTTACATGCGCGCACATCAGGCGCACAAAACATAGTCACCAAAACAGCAGTAACACGGTTGAATCCCACCTGTTTATGATTGCACTGTTCCAGGGTCATGTGATCACCACTGCAACTCCCCCAAGGTTGTGGTCAATTGTGGTCAAACATCAAGAACTAACCATACTCCTGTATTTTACCTAGAAAACCATGTGGCTAGACAAAAACTGATTGACACTCTAGTACCTGAAGATTGCTCCCTCATGTCAACTGGCACTCAATACTACTCACGAAAAACTGAAGATCCTTTGGAGTACTAATGGTATTTATGAAGTGGCTAGATTAAAACCTCTATGATGGCTAATTCTGATATTGCCATGGAAGAAAAAATAAATCTGAAGTTGAAAATCAGAATAATGGTGGGAGCATGGAAATTAAGAAGCATGAACATGGGAAGGCTCAACACGGTAAAAACCGAAATGAATCAATTACACACTGACATATTTGGTATCAGCATCTTGAAATGGACCGGAATTGGACACTTTTAGCCCAACAATCTATTTCCTACTCAGGAAACAGAGACTTAATAGAGTATACAACTGTCATGAAATATTCTTAATTTCCTATATTAGCAAAATAGCTTTTAGGAACATGGATGCAGAACAGATTTATACATAGGACAGGAGATACCAGATGGTTTTAGAAAAGATAAGGAGCAAGAGCCATTATTGCTGCTGCACGCAAAACAAATTAGCAAAAAAGTCAGTATGAGCTCCACTGATTATAGAGAAGCCTTCAATTATATTGACTATGTCAAACTGAGGAATGTGCTTAGAAAATGGGGATCTGGAAACACCTTCATGTCCTCATATAAAACCTATGCAAGATTGGGAAGTCTCAGTGTGAAGCTAACCTGATTCCAGGGTGACAAGATGCGAGATAACTCTTCTCTTACCTATTTGACCTATATGCAGAATATAGCCAAGGAAGATGGACTGGAAGATGAGCATGGCTTTGAAAATGGAGGAAGAAACATTAAATGCATAGTGATGCTACTCTGACAACTGAAAATGCAGAAGATTTGCAAGTTGCAGTAATGAAAATCAAAAAGACAATGGTTGCCTAGATGGCCCAGGTCTAGAAGCACTAATTTGCTGCCTTAATACTATCTGTATCCCATCTTTATTGTTTTTACAAATAACTCAAGTTGGGGAACACATCCAACACACCTTCCTCCTACAATTTCCCCACAAGTATGACAGAAATAAGCAGGGAGGAAAAAGAAAGCCACTTTGATGTAGTGATTAAAGCACCATACTAGAAATTGAGTTGTGTCCTCCTTTTGGCATGAAACCAGTTGGGTAACTATGGCCCTAGGAAGAAAGCAATGGCATACCACTTCTGACAATCTCACCAAGAAAATTGCAGGGACTTTTAAAAGCAGTCTGCAAGAATCAGCATTGATTTAAAGGCACACACAATAAAAGTGGGAGGAGGAGCAAGATAGATATGCAAGACAATTCCAATGGACTTGTTTATTGAGGGTTAAACTAGACCAAACTGCTTAGGTTCATATGACACTGTAAAACATAAACTAACTTACACATATGGGAGTTTTACACAAAATATTAGGCTAAACTTCTATCAGTTGCTTTGTGACTTAGATGCTGTGAGTACATAACAATACATAACACTACATCTTTTGCAGTAACAAGCTAAGCTCTAAAGAAAAATATATATGGATGATTTTCAGTTCCATAAATAAACAAAAAAGGAAATTAAGTTATCAGTAGCAGGGCGGGTGGATTCAGTTACAATGGCCATGTGTGCATCATTGGAAGACCTGGAAAAAAAAACAAGTTATCCTGAAGAAAATATGAGGTTGCAAAGAGTCAAAAACGACCTGGCGGCACCTAGTCAATGAATCAAATTAAGCTTGATCCCTGGAAACAGCCTCAGTTTTTAACAACCATAGAACGGATCTGATTCTGAATGCACAATGTCACTAAATAAACACAACCAATCTAAAAGCAATCTCATCTACAAATCATTATACACATTAACACCGATGAAATCCATTTCCATTTGAACAACTTCGTATCTTAACGTAAGGGGCAGTGTTTATACAACACGGTAATCTATGATTTTTAAGATTTACCACCACTGGGGACTACCATATCTGGGGCTGCAAAAATCCCGATAATCACTAAGTTTCTCTATCTTTCTGCCATTCAGCGGCCATCGGCGTTTTATAGGCAGATGCAGTAGCCTATCTCACCTGGCTGCCATTGCATAACCCACTAAACCAAAAATAAGAAATGACATTTGCCCTTTCTTTTGCTTGCCAAGTCCGGATGAGGCGGAGAAGTCGCCCCTCCAAACAAGTTGTTCTCTACTTTTCCCATTGCTATACTCAATGCTCCTTTCATGTACCTGCAAGCTCAAAAATAGTGTTTATTCTGTATTCAACCCACTTTCCCTCCCCTCCCTCCCCCACGCACCCACGGAAAGAGTCCTAACCTGCAACACGGCCCAGCCGTCCAACACCGCTTGCACGCCCTGCCTGAAAAGGCCACGTGCCTCCTCTTTCGGCGTCGCCATGTCAGCGGCAGCCAGCCGGAAGTCAAACCCAGAATAATCGATTAACTCGTCAAGAAGAAAAAAGTAGACCTAAATAAACGCCTGCAGAGTCACTTCAGAGCTTCGCGGTTTCTCCTCTCATCCAGTGTTGTCGATCGAGCAGTTCGAATTTTGCTTTGTGCTGGCGGTTTATATACATAATATTCTATATTTCATAAGGGACTTCAAGTGCCAAATACTCATCCAATGGCCAACTGAAGGGCTTTAAACTGTCTTTGAACGTTAACAGATTAACAGAATTGCAAAGGACCTTGTAGGTCATCTAGTCCAACACCCACCCACCCCCCCCCCCCCCCCCAGGAAACCCTACTACACCATTTCTGACAGGTGGCAGTGCAGTCACTTCTGGAAATCCTCCAGTGGTGAAGCTTTCACAACTTCTGAAGGCAAGCTGTTCATCGGTTGATTGTTCTCACATACTTGCCTCACAGTAGCGTAGATAGATCAGGCACTGAAATCTTGTGGATAGTCATGTTTTGTAGCCTGAAAGCTTGTGAATGGCTTCAGAAACTCAGGAGCACACTGGATTAAGTAATTAAATGGAAGTTACATCCCTAGAGAATCATACATTGTTTTTGCACATAAAATGTGATTGTTCTGTTTGTGGCTATGTTAATGTGCTGTGCGGCTATGCAATTACATGCATGTATTTAGGCAGCTGGGTGAATTTAAAAAAAAAAACCTAGTTCAGTTGTAATTAACAATGGGTTAGCATGCTATGCAAATTTAGCCAGACTTCATTTTACCGAATATTAGTTAAATTTGTTTCTGAACAAACGCACATACAAGCTTTTTTTAAAAAAAAATCCTTAATGATTGTGTTTGCACTGTACATCAAAACACATGCTAAATTTTAGTCTAAAATGTTGTACCTACCCTTCTACTGTGTTTCTCCAACAATACAGCCTCCACCAATAGGAAGGCCCAACATGATTTCTAGGCATGAGGTGAAATTAAGCCCTGCCCCCCAAATTTAGGCCTATTTAAACCAAGCGTTTCCCTGCCATTTCTCACATCGTTAGTTAGAAATACACAAGGTGAAGAGAAATGGGGGGGAAGGGGAGGGAGAAAACTTGCCTTTAGGAGCACCCTGCAGGTAGCCTAGGCTAGAATACCCCAATCTACTGATAGAACATCAGCCGATAGAAGCTCCCTGAAGGCAGAATCCCTAGCCGCTTCAGGGCGAGGCATGGCTGCCCGTGTCCCCTCGCCTTTAGGCAGTCTCTTTTGGGCGATGGAAGCTCCCCAAGAGCAGTCACCAGCCACTTCGATCGGTCGGTAGAAGTGGCCTCGGGGTGAGCGCACACACACACACACTCCCCTCGCTGTGAGCCGTTTCTATCGGTTGAAGAAAGCTCCCCAAAGGCAGAATCCCCAGCTGCTTCGGGGTGAGGCGTGGCTGCCTGTGCCCCCTTGCCATTGGGCAGTCTCTTTCAGGCGATGGAAGCTCCCCAAGTGCAGTCACCAGCCACTTCGATCAGCTGGTAGAAGCAGCCTCGGGGCGAGCGCACACACACACACACTCCCCTCGCCGTGAGGCCGTTTCTATCGGCTGATGAAAGCTCCCCGAAGGCAGAGTCCCCAGCTGCTTCGGGGCGAGGCGTGGCTGCCCGTGTCCCCTCGCCATTAGGCAGTCTCTTTTGGATGATGGAAGCTCCCCAAGTGCAATTACCAGCTACTTCGATCGGCCGGTAGAAATGGCCTCGGGGTGAGCGCACACACACACTCCCCTTGCCGCGAGGCCGTTTCTATCGGCTGATGAAAGCTCCCCGAAGGCAGAGTCCCCAGCCGCTTCGGGACGTGGCATGGCTGCCTATGTCCCCTCACCTTTAGGCAGTCTCTTTTGGGCAATGGAAGCTCCCCAAGTGTAGTCCCCAGCCACTTCGATCGACCGGTAGAAGTGGCCTCGCAGCGAGGGGAGTGTGCATGTGCGCTCGCCCCGAGGCCACATCTACCGGCCGATCGAAGTGGCTGGTGACTGCACTTGGGGAGCTTCCATCGCTCAAAAGAGACTGCCTAATGGCAAGGGGACATGGGCAGCCACGCCTCACCCCGAAGCAGCTGAGGACTCTGCCTTCAGGGAGCTTTTGTCGGCCGATAGAAGTGGCCTCGCAGCGAGGGGAGTGCATATGGGCCGCTCTAGGTGGGGGAGGATATTAAATCACCCCCAAAAAGACGGCCTAGCCGTTTTTTCAGGGGTCAAAAAAAAATAAGGCCCGGCCTTATTTTGTGAGAAACACAGTAGTTAGGTTATGGAATCACTGCAAGCAATTCCATACAGGTATTAAGCATACCCAGACATGCTTGGGTTAACCAAGCACATCATAATATCAGAGTAGATTAAACATATAACCTTGAAAGATATGATTTAGGAACTATTTTGTGACAAATTTTACTATGTTGAAAATGAAAATTGCATTAAAATATTAATGAGAATTATAATACTTTTAACAGCACAGCAATCAGTAATAAAAAGGTTTGTGAAAGGTTTGTTCCATGTACGTTAGAATCTACTATATTTAATACTGGATTATAATTCCCATTACATCTCAACATAGAGAGTACTAGAATAATTAAAGTCTGCATCAACTAATTAAATTGTAACTATTGCCCTCCAGATATGCTACAATACATTCCTATCATGCTGGCAGAGGATAATGGGAACTAGATTACAACAAATCAGAAAAGAATGGCATATTGAAGATTTGTGCTAAAGGTAGTCTGTTGGGTTCAAAGAAGCCACTGTTGTGCAATTCATCTGCAGATATGGATATGGCTCTCCAATCCCATTCTGGAAGTGCAGAGTCTTGCACATTGAGAACACTGGTAGTCCATTGTTGTAATAACTGTGGGTGTTATACTATGACACTGCTCACAGTTTTCTATCAGTTTTTGGCCATGCTTGTCTTCAAAGTCAGTGGAGGCTTCATAGCACAACTTGTCCCTGGTTTCTGTCAGCAGCCACAGCTTCTAGTTCCTTTGACTAGATGTCATAGTGATGTAGGATTTCCTTCACTGTATCTTCACTGCATCTTTGTAGCAGTAGCATGGATGACCCTAAGGGCTCTTTCCAATCTCCAGTGGAGAGCAATTGAATAGGCATATGGTAGTCATTCATTTTGATGTTGCGTCCCACCCACCTCATCTGGGCCTTTATAATCAGGAACTCAATAGTGGTGGACTGCATATGATCCAAGATCTCTGGGTGGGAGACATGGTCTTGCCAACAAATGCCAAGGATGTAGTGGAAAGCATGCAAGTTAAATTTCTCCAGTTGTTTGGTAAGTTGCTGACAACAGAATCCAGAACTCATATCCATAAATGGGAGAAGGGATAATCTCAGCTCTGTAGATTTTCAGCTTTGTGGAGTTCAGGATGGCTGTGTTAACTGAACACTCAACTGAAGTAGACAGCTATTCCAGAGCTGATTACCCAAAGAACCTATCACTTGAGATGATGCTTCTTGAGCATTTAAAGGTGTTTACATTTGTCAGTCGGATGTCCTCAGGAGTGATTTTTGGTTCCATGGGGTTGCTATCTGGCATGGGCTAGTAAAGAACTTCAGTCTGAAGAAAAATCACAGTATCTGAGAATCAAGCATCATCTATAGATCACTGTCTTTTTGTGCCAGGAGCTCAGTCATCAGCAAAGAGAGTTTCTTGAATATATAAAGGCATGTTACCCATGCATTCAAGCAATGAAGATCAGGGAGTTGTCTAATCAGTATCTAGTATACATTCCCTCCTTTAGACTCTGGGCAGCATGTGACAATAGGCAAGTGAAGAACAGATTTAACAAGGCTGGGACTAACACACAGCCCTGCTTCACCCATTAGAAATGGCAAATGCAGCTGACATATCACCATTATAAAGGACTGTTCTGTCATTCCGTTGTGAAGTAATTTAATTAACTTCATGAATGAATTTCCATGGGCACCCATGTTTCAAAATGATCCAAAGACTACCTGGTTTAAAATGTCAGATGTCTTTGTTCATTGAGATTGCTGCTACATTAATGTACTTGATCCCATTACACTCAAATATTTTGATTCATATAATATGCTGAAACATAGGCTACCGGCCCACATTTCAGCCAAGTGTTATACAAATCTATTACCTACTTCATGTGTGTCAATTTATAGTTCAGAAAAGGAGATGAACTGAATAAATTATGATTGCATAAACATTAAGCATTATAGCCAGGAGGCAAAAATCCAGACATTAACTACAACTCTGCTTCTAGGTTTATACAACCCCGCCCCCTATAAAATAAATACCAAGTGTAATTTAAACCTATCATCCCATGCATCCCATGCTTGGGAGAAAGCTCCACTTAATTCTATAAGATTAATTCTAATTAAACATGTATATGATTACTCTGTGCATGTAAGAGGGAAAAGGTCCTATATGAATTCCTCAAGGATGATATCTTCCAGTTGACCTGGACTATAATTATCACATTCCAAATCACTATGGCAACTGGAAATTAGTGGAGTTGTGCCTAATATATAGGGAGTGAGCCAGGTTATGAAAGGCTGAATAGAGTCTTGCAGATGGAAGCATATATTTTCTTCTTAGCATTTTCCTTCAACTGCAGGGTTTGCTTTTTTCTGATCAACCAAGTATTGATCCATTTGGTTGTGACAGGAATTGACTGACCAGCTTGTTGACTGAGTCTGACATCCTGGGCTAAGAGAATGACTGACTCAGCCAGCCTTCACCCAGCCAGCTTTCATGCCTAAAGTGGTAGTCCCATTTAGTAGTCCCAGCTCACAATCTCCTAGTTTATGTGTGATGCCTTAACCACTAAACTAAACTGACCCTTAGGAAGGATAAATGTCTGTTTTAATTTTTTTACTAATATTAATGGGATCGGTCACAAATGCAATAACAGCATATACTTAATCATATATATACTGTAATGTGGACATTTCCACACTGCCATTACGATAACATGAAAGCCTGTCATTGTTAAAAATACAGGACCATGGCATTAGTTGGAGTAT